AGTCCGACTTCCACATATATAAACTGGGGCTGTTAAGCATTTTAAAAAAATGAATCACGTGCGCTGCCCCTTTGAAACGCTGCAGTGGCATTTCAAAGGGGCAGCCCGGGATCAGCTGGAGTCCTCAGCTGACCCCAGGCTCAGTGCAGCTGACCCTTTGAAACGCCAACCCAGGGGCAGCAGGAGCCTGGGATCAGCTGGAGTCCCCATAGCTGAGCCACGGTGCTGCCCCTTAGAAACGCAGCAGCGGCGTTTCAAAGGGACAGCTCTGCCCGGCGCCCAGGTCAGCTGCGGACTCCAGCTGATCCCAGGCTCCTACTGCACTAAGAGATTAGGTTCTGAGTTCACAATGTATCTCCTCTAAAGTCCGCCCTTCACTTTTTTTGTTGCAGTGGGTACCTCTTTCCCACTCTCCCGGCTCCTCCAGCTATTCGGCTAGCACACACCAGAAGGCAAAAATGCAATAGGGATGACATGTTCAATGAGCAAATGCAATCCACCCACATGGACAGGGCACAGTACATGTGTGGAGGAGAACGCTGCTGCAGGAGATGCAAATGGAGCATGAGGACAGGAGAGCGTGCAGGGAACCCGAAGTGAAGACATTTTGAGGATCCTCGGGGAGCTGCTGACATTCCTGGTAGGCTCTAGGAGAGTCAGATGCACAGATCCCCATTGCAGCCTGTGCTGAACCAGATTCCCCTTACACTCAACCCCCGAGGATTTCTACCGGAACAGAAGTCTGTCAGCTGTGTGACTGCTGAACAGGGGATTGTAATATACAGCTTTCCGTACACCCCACCCCTGCACCCAAAGCTCCCACCCTGAACTCCTTTTCTGTCCCTGCTTCCTTGTGTTCCCTAAATAAAACACATTCTCAAGAACAGTACCGTTATTGCTTGTGTTGCGTGAGGGAGGGGGATTTACAGGGTTTACAGGCCAGCACACTGACTGCCGAAGGCACCTTACGAAGAGTAACATGCCTGGCCATTCACAAAGGTGTTTTTCAAAGCCCCTCTGATTTGCAGTACCCCTCGATGTGCTGTCCCGATTGCCCTGCTGCCTGGCTGCTCATTCGTGGCTAGGCGCTCTGCCTCAACCCCCTATCCTGGCGTAAAATGTTCCCTTGTGCTTCCACAGGCATTATGGAGCACACAGCATTCTGCCACCACGATGGGAATGTTGCTTTCCCTGAGGTCTAACCTAGTCAGTAAACTGCAAAACCTTCCCTTTCAATGTCCAAAACCACATTCTACTCCCATTCTGCAGTTGCTCAGCCTGTAGTTGAACTGCTCCTTACTGCGATTCAGGCTGCCTGGATACGGTTTCATGAGTCACAGGAGCAGAGGGTAGGCTGGGTCTCCAAGGATCACTCTGATGTTAGTTTTCTGCTCTGGGAAGAAAGTTCCATCTTGCAGCTTTCTGAAGAGACCGGAGATCCGAAAGATGTGCACCTTTCCCGACCATCCCACATGGATGTCAGTGAAATGGCCCTTGTGAGAAAGACCCCTTGTGGTTTATGTATCTTTGGCAAGGTGGTCAGGTCCCATGATGTGTGTTCCATCTATTGCCCCATCGCAGCAAAGTCCACCGCCACATCCTGCACGTTTCCCAGAGTCACTGCCCTTTGTAGCTGAAGGGTATCGATTGCCTTGGCTACTTGGATCACAGCGTCTCCCACCCCTGTAAATTTCCTCACTGTGAATTGCTTCCCAAAGGATTGGTCGCTGTCTGCTGTTGCAAGCTTCCACAGGGCAATTGCCACTTGCTTCTCCACAGTCAGAGCGGATCTCATTTTGGTATTGCTGTGCTTCAGGGCAGAGGAAAGCAATTTGCAAACTTGCATGCAAGTGGCCTTATGCATGCAAGAGTTTTGCAGCTACTATGCAGTCCCACCTGTTTGTGCTTGACTCACAGCGCCAGAATCGGCGTTCTGCTGTGTCAAGAGGCTGGACTGCCACCAACATCTGCCAATTGCTCCACTCTAGTGCTTCACACAAGTGTCTGTTCATGACCTCCTCGAATCCCTCCTCGCTCTGGCAGCTCCTGGCTAGACTCCGGATATACTTCAGCATAGAGCATGTGATGTTGGCTATGAGTGCCATAGCACTTTGCAGCTGAACAGGCTCCAAGTTTGCCCTACTATGGCATCTGCATGGGTAACCAGGGAGAAAAGGGTGCTAAACGATTGTTTGCCATTGCTTTCAAGCGTCCAGTTCTGGGCTTCCCATTAAAGAAAGGATGTGGATGCACTACAGAAAATCCAATGAAGAGCAACAAAAATGATGAGGGGGCTGGAGCACATGACATCAGGGTCGTGTCCAGACTCAGGGGTTTTTTCGGGAAAAGTAGCCTTTTCCCGAAAAAACTTCCCCTGCGTCCAGACTCAAGCCGCGTTCTTTCGAAATTATTTCAAAAGAACGCGGCTTTTCTTTCGATGGCGGTAAACCTCATTTCACGAGGAAGAACGCCTTCTTTCGAAAGTTCCTCTTTCGAAAGAAGGCGTTCTTCAATGTAAAGAGGCCGTCTTTGAAAGAGAGCATCCAGACTCGCTGGGTGCTCTCTTTCGAAAAAGCGGATTTCTCTTTCGAAAGATCCGCCTGCAGTCTAGACATAGCCCAGGAGAGGCTGAGGGATTTGGCCTTATTTAGTCTACAGAAGACAAAAATGAGGGGGGATTTGATAGCAGCCTTCAACGATCTGAAGGGCCGTTCCAGAGAGGATGTTCTCAATGGGGACCGATGACAGAATGAGGAGTAATAGTCTCACGTTGCAGTGTGGGAGGACTAGGTTGGATATTGGAAAAAATCTATTTCCTTAGGAGGGTGATGAAGCACTGGGACGGGTTCCCTAGGGAGGTGGTGGAATCTCCAACCCTGGAGGTTGTTAAGTCCTAACTTGACAAAGCCCTGGCTGGGATGGTTTAATTGGGACTGATTCTGCTTTTAGCAGGGGTTTGGACTCGATGACTCCTGAGGTCTCTTCTAACCCAAGGAGATTCTATGAAGGGAGGGGAAGGAGTGGAGTGCATTATGGGACGCTGACAACATGTACCCAGAACCACTCTCTGCACTGACTTTGTCCCATCAGGCATTGGGAGCCTAACCCAGAATGCAAAGGGGGGTTGGCAAGAATTAAAGGATAGCTACCCACAGTGCATTGGTTAACTACTAGGGACTCCTGAACTAAAAGAAAAAGCAGGCTTTGCTTGACCTAAGCAGCATGCTTCAGTTTGAGTGAGTCAGTGTTCACAGCCTGGATTCCAAATGGACACATTCGGAAACCTCATTCATTTGACTATTGCTGTATAAGGTTTAAAGCCTGATGTACCTGGCTCGCCTGAAAGCGAACAGAATTATTCCATAGGAGACCGGTTGTGGAGGAACGCTTCCATTCACACAATCTTCTCAATATCGATACATGCACAAACGAAGGAGAAAGATTCCATAGCTCCTGTCACTTTCATGTCAATGTATGAAATCTAATCAGAAATATAAAACAATACCTGTAACTGTGATGTGGTGTATAAAGCAATTACACTAATTCTTTCCCAGGAGATAAATATGCAGTTCTATGGATGAATACAACACTAACTGCCATAGCAACCTAGCAGAAACAAAAATTTTCAGGGAGAGGGAGAGAGAGCCTACGGTGCTACAGGTTTAGGCAGGGAGCCAGGCAATGGGAGGAGAGTAAGAGAAAGACACAGGAGGCAAATCCTGTTGGCCTAAGGTGCTGCAGTTTAGGCAGGGAGCCAAGCAGTGAAAAGGGAGCAGGGGAAACACACAGGAGGCAAATCCTGCTATCCATTCCCAGGCACAAGAGCTAAAGTCAACTGGGAGCAGTGAGAGCTGTGCCTGTGGATGGAGAGGCCAGGCAGCTCCTGAATATGTTTAAATGCACTGCTCCAGGAAGGTGTGACCACACGCAAGGAGCAGAGTTCAGTGAAACATTCATAAGTGATCACATATACATCATGAATAGTGATAGAAATGAAGCCTTGTTAGTCTGGTGTAACTGAAACAAAAAACAGGACTATGTAGCACTTAAAAGACTAGCAAGCTAGTTTATTAGGTGTTGAGCTTTCGTGGGCCAGACCCACTTCCTCAGAACAAATAGTGGAAGAAAATTGGCACAACCATATATACCAAAGGAGACAATAAAAAAAATGAACACATATGAAAAGGACAAATCAAATTTCAGAACAGAAGGGGACATTTACCTCCCCTCCCATCCCCCTTCTGTTCTGAAATTTGATTTGTCCTTGTGTTCTTTTTTTTGATTGTATCCTTTGTTATATATGGTTGTGCCAATTTTCTTCCACTATTTGATATGAGGAAGTGGGTCTGGCTCACGAAAGCTCAGCACCTAATAAATCATCTTGTTAGTCTTTTAAGTGCTACATAGTCCTGTTTTTTGTTTCACATATACATCATGTGTCGCTTCCTTTTTCAATGTCCCCTCTGACAGCACAAGGGCTACCTTATGACTTCCTGCTGCTGCCCATCACTAGTAGCTGGGCCTTTTCTGTACAGAGCACTGAAGTGATGGCAAGATTTCTTAGTCTTACTAAGTTTCCAGCTCTCCCATCTTTTCAGATTATTTAAAAAAAAACAATCAACTCTGCTGGGAGTAGAATTTCTGGGCTGTAGTTTTTAGGGTGTGATGGTCATTGCACAAGTGAGAAAGCAAAACTGATTTTATAATTTTAATTCTTTTATAAATTGCTGGGCATGTTTTCTCCTACACAGATAGCTTTTCATAGAAGTGTCCCGTGCAAATATTCAAAATTCAAGCTTCAAAAAATTCAACCATGATAGGCTACTTACAGAAGTCATATGGACTTGTTGCTCTCTCTTGATTGGACTATTGTACCTCATAGAGAGCCTTGGCTGTGAATTTGTTACTGCAACGAACCAAGCAGTTCAAGATTCCATCCCGTTGACAAGTCTAACTTGACATTCATTTTTCACAAGTGCTGGTAAAACTGGAGCCCCTGAATGTCCACAAACAAGGGTCATGAATACAGGCATCTTAGTGACCCTTTGCTTTTCACTTGCAATGGATTCGAGCAGATCTGGCCAGGTCCCTGCCAGTTGCTGCGATTAGG